CATGTGGACTATGTTGCTTATTGATGTTGTGTGGTGTATAATGAAGCGTTTCAGGAGCATTTATGGTACGTGGTAATATTAAAGTTTGTAGATTTTAACACTGTTGTTGTTCAAGTAGCTAACGAAGTGCAGTTATGAGCCGCGGCGCGTCGTTGTAAGCTGCCATCATGGTGGAAGATCTTCCTTTGTTTAATCGTTTGGTGAAATTATATATTCGCGAACATTTACGGACATGGAACAGGATGTGAAGAAATTTCAGCAGGCTACTGCGACGGCCTTTTATAAGCGGTCAGTGGTTACTCGAACTCGGTGCAAAATTTACTTAACTAAACTAAACTTTACCTCCTTATAAATATACTGAGTGCGTTCCATTTTATTATTAAAACCTCATTAATTATTTGTTAACGCTCGCCATTGCCTAATTGATACAGGCTGTTCCATTTAACCCCGGCCCGTAACCAAAATTCCGCCCTTGGTTAGAGCCCAGCTCCCATCATGGATGAGCTGTAACGGTTCCGTCAGAGCAGGTTTGAAATGCCGAGAGACGATCGGGCTGAAATGGAGCGCACAGTAAACACACACGACAGTAACTGGACTAGTCTATGAATGCGTTAACACATGCAATCGGATGAGGAAGGAGCGTCACGATATCCAGCGAACGCGGCACGAAGAGATGCAACCAATCGGGCAGTCACAGACCACGGAAGGAAGAACACGATGGGAAACAGCAACGTGTATCTCCGACAACCAACAACGAAGGTACAATCAAAACAAAACAAAACGCAAGTCGTTCAAAAGTGGTATAAAAGGTCCGTAGGTGCGTCAAATGGGAAACATGTTCATAACGATTCATTCATTGTTCAACGTGTTCGAGTCTGAAAAAGGAAAGAAGAAAGAGAGTTAAAAGTGGCGGTTCGTTCAAAGTCCCATTACAGTTTCGGTTTCGTTACACTGCCCCCCTCCTGCATTGGGCACTGCCCTCAGTGCCTCCGTGTCTGCTGCCGTAGCCATCCCGCCTTCGGGTGGTATCTCTACAGTTCCTTCCACCATAGGCAGGCATCCCGGGGGAACTATTCCGTCTGATGGTGCAGAGTTCGATGACGAAGTAGCTGGTTTCAATTGATTGTAATGAACAGTTAAAACGTCTGATCTCGGCTCATTGACACTCCGAATTACATATACCGTGGGGGAACGGATAAACACAATTTCGTAAGGGCCTTGCCATTGGCGATGAAATTTACTGGACGCGCCTGCAGGAGGCTTCGGTCGGTGCAGCCACACATGATCTCCTACGTGGTATTCTGGCCCGAGACAGCGCTGGTCGTAACACCGTTTTTGGCGGTTTTGCGCATTTCTCATGTTTAGCTGGACGCTGAGGAACGCAGATCGAAGACGCTCCCGTAGATCGCGTACATACTCCAAGAGAGAACAAGCCTCTAGCGGTGGGATCGGAGACATCAGTTCTACCGGCAACCGAAGCTCTTGACCGTGTGTCAGATAAGCTGGAGAGTAGCCCGTGGTTGCATGCACTGCCGCACGGTAAGCCATCATGCACTGTGGTAAAAGCTCATCCCAACGATTCGTCTGTTGCCGTTCAATAAAAGTTTGGAGGATTCCTTTGATAGTTCGGTTCGTACGTTCAACCAGTCCATTTCCCTGGGGGTGATAGGGTGTAGTCCGCGTCTTCCTGATAGAGAGCAGCCGACAAACTTCGCGCATCAGTTGGCTCTCGAAAGCAGCGCCCTGATCTGAATGAAGTGACAAGGGGGCGCCATATCGAGCAACCCATTCGTTTACAAAAGCGGATGCGACCGTTGCTGCATCGGGTTGTTTGATTGGAATTGCTTCGCACCACTTCGTAAAGTAGTCGACGAGGACTAAAATGTGTCGATTCCCATTCGCCGTGATTGGGAGAGGGCCCATCAGATCTACCCCAATGCGTTGACCCGGTGCGGTAGTGACCATGGGCATCAGAGGAGCTCGCGGTACGGTTGCAGGTGACTTCACAGAAGTACAAATGTCGCATTCGTTGCAGAACTTGGTAACATCGGCGTGTATCCCCGGCCACCAGTAGCGTTGGCGAACAGCAGCTTCCGTCTTCCTCTGACCCGCGTGGCCTAACTCATTGTGAACTTTCTGTAAAACAGGTGGTATTCGCACCGTCGGAGTAATAAGTTTCGGACCAGACTTATCCAGCAAATACAAAACTCTACCGATGGCCTTCAAACTACCCCAATGTCCCCAGAGCGCACGTTCATCCGCTGATCGAGATTGCATTTCGATCCCAGAAGGTTTCGACGATCCATCCAGTTGACGCATGTATATGTTGGAGATGTAAGGGTCATCAGACTGGTCATTGGCCCATGCTTCATCCCCCTCTAGATCACGTAAAACCGCGTTCACTTCGTCCGATGCAGGAAGTCTGGAAAGCGCGTCTGCATTGGCATGTCGTGCGCCGGGCCGGTATTCACATGTGAATTCGTACTCTTGTAACTGTTCTTGCCATCGCGCGACTTGTCCCTCAGGGTCACGGAAGTTTCGAAGCCACTGAAGAGATTGGTGATCCGTTCGAACCAGAAACGGTTTTCCAATGAGATATGGTCGAAAGTATCTGAGAAACTTGACCAAAGCCAGTAACTCGCGTCTGGTGGTGCTGTACCTGCGCTCCCGTTTGTCTAGACGGCGGCTAGCGTAAGCAATCACAACTTCGCCACTTGATGTTTTCTGTGACAAGACTGCTCCTATTGCGTCCGCACTGGCGTCTGTATCCAGCACGAATGGTCCCGCTGTATCAGAAACATCAGGAAGGCCAAGAATTGGTGGTGATGATAGACACTCTTTCAGTTGTGTGAAAGCTCGATTACACTCATCGGTCCAAAGGAACTGTCGGCCCTTTTCGGTCAGGCGATGTAGCGGGGCCGAGATGGCAGCGAAATTACGAATAAACCTGCGATAATATGAGGCAAGTCCCAGGAAGCTTCGTAGATCCTCCACATTACGAGGTCGTGGCCACGATTGAACCTTTTCGCATTTACCAGGGTCGGTGCTGATACCATTTGGTGTGATGACATGACCCAAGAAAGTAACTTGGCTACGCAGGAATCGGCACTTGGAACCTTTCAGCCTTAGTCCGGCTTGCCGTAGCCGTTGCAGGACAATGCGCAGTCGGTCATTATGTTCTTCGACGGAACGGCCATGGACTATAACATCGTCCAAGTAAATTAGGCATTCCTTCGGCACAAGCCCTTCCAAAACCTTTTGCATCAGCCGTTGAAACGTTGCGGGAGCGTTTGCCAACCCAAAAGGCATTGTCTCAAATTCATACAAACCCGATGGCACGATAAAAGCTGTCTTGCCTCGATCAGATGGGCGGACCTCCACCTGCCAGTACCCAGCGGCCAAGTCGAGGGTTGAAAACCAACGTGCACCATGGAGCGCATCGAAAGTAGCATCGATACGTGGCAGTGGAAAAGAATCCTTTCGGGTAACCTCGTTCAGTCTCCTGTAATCTACACAGAGTCGTAGAGATCCATCTTTCTTTTTAACTAGGACGATGGGAGAGGCCCATGGTGACGTTGACGGACGAATAACGTGCTTCTCCAACATGTCCTTAATCATATTATCGAGTTGAGGTTGGTAGTGTATGGGGACTCTCCGGGCCGGCTGGCGAATAGGGTGTTGGGTGCCCGTGTAAATTTCATGCTGAATTATGCTTGTACGTCCAAGCTTGTCATCACCAAATAAATCCTCAAACTCTCGGAGCAAAGAACAAAGTTGCATCTTGTGTCTTAGAGGCAAAGTCGTATCATTATTTAAGGGATCGATTACGTCGGACATAAACGGTGAAGCTTCAGATGGTTCGAGCGAAACCGGACAGGAATGCAATGAACTCAGAGCGTCGCCTGTGCTGTTCCTTAACGGATCATGTGTCAAAGTAGCGCTGGAGAGGTAAAGAGTACTCGCGTGTTGGCCCAAAAAATCCATTCCCAAGATGGCTTCCCATTTAAGGTTCCGACAGACTAAAAACTCGTGAGTAGCTGTGATTTTGCCCAAACGGACCCTGGCGATTAGGGAGGATGCTACTGGTAGTTCAGACCCGTTAGCAGTAACTACACGGGGACGTTTCATACGGAATGCTCGACGATCACCGAGACGACTGGCTACATCTAATCGCAACAGAGAACATGATGCCCCAGTGTCAATCAAAAAACGCAAAACAGCATCGTTCAGGAACCCAACCGTGGTCAGCGGACTAATTACGGCATTACAAACAAAAGCAGACATTAAGTGTTCAGACCTACCTCGGGGTCTTCGCGGCCTGATCGGGGGATTGTGCCCGCAGTGTTGAGCACGCTTTCCAAACCGGTGGCAGTACCAGCAACTCGTGTTCGGCGGGTTCGGTGTAGGCGGAGTGGTTTTCGTAGTTTCGTGTATCTTCGCTGTGGTGGGACCAATCGCATGGCATTCACGAACTCCAGGGGACTCGGAAGTGCCGTCTAGTATTTCCATTGCTTCTTGTGTCCGCGCATCTTTCAGCAACTCTTCGAGGCGGCATGGTAGTCTGCGCACCAACTCGTTACGAAGCGACTTGTCGCGCAAGCCCATACAAAAGCGTTTGCAAACACAATTCTCCCGTGCGGAAGGCGAAAGTTCTGGGAAAGCTTTCAGTGCGAGGTCTCTAAGCGCACGTGAGAACATATCCACCGTTTCGCCGGGCAACTGGTTGCGGGTAGCGAACTTCTCCTCGTAAATCACAGAAGGCTCTGATTTTACAAATAAACGTCGCAAAGCCTGCCATATTTCTGAGGAAGAAGACTTCGGTGTAATACCCGTTGAACGGATGAGCCGCAAAGCTTCGTCGCTCAGGAAGCTGAGGATAAAAATCCCGACATCTTTCTCGGGGACAGTGGATAAGTAGGCTGAGACCTGAAATTCCCAGTTTTCGAAGTCGTCGTCCGGCTGAAAAACTGACGGCTGTCGGGGCGTTGGACGAAAACCATGTGAACATTCGTGTGTAAAACAGCGAACATTAGATTTTACTTCGGGTGGGCTGAACTCTTGGTTGTCCATTTGTGTATGATCCCACCTCTGTCACCAAATTGTAACGGTTCCGTCAGAGCAGGTTTGAAATGCCGAGAGACGATCGGGCTGAAATGGAGCGCACAGTAAACACACACGACAGTAACTGGACTAGTCTATGAATGCGTTAACACATGCAATCGGATGAGGAAGGAGCGTCACGATATCCAGCGAACGCGGCACGAAGAGATGCAACCAATCGGGCAGTCACAGACCACGGAAGGAAGAACACGATGGGAAACAGCAACGTGTATCTCCGACAACCAACAACGAAGGTACAATCAAAACAAAACAAAACGCAAGTCGTTCAAAAGTGGTATAAAAGGTCCGTAGGTGCGTCAAATGGGAAACATGTTCATAACGATTCATTCATTGTTCAACGTGTTCGAGTCTGAAAAAGGAAAGAAGAAAGAGAGTTAAAAGTGGCGGTTCGTTCAAAGTCCCATTACAGTTTCGGTTTCGTTACAGCTCAAAAATTTCAATTTGCCGCCATGGAGGAAACCAGTAGTCGAGAAGTTCGGACTGAAACGATCGACGGAAATCCTCCGTGGTAGGTAAAGCAATGTCCTGAGCAACAGTTTTGAGGAACAAGTGTTGCAAGTCGTCAGAACCAGAGGATGAGTAAGGATCAAGTTCAAGTGGGACTGGAACGATAGGATGAATCCCGTAAGTGTTCTTGCTTGAGCGGGTCGTCGATCCAGGAGTTGATAGGGGTGCTCCGACTTTTTTGGGTCTAAAAGGAAAACACCCAAAAACACCCCTGGTCCACCAATTTAATGCCCACGTTTCTTACATTAGCTGTCCCTACTATGTCAGTTCCGTGAAGTAAATAAGAGAGGAAGAAAAAGCGAATGTAAGAGAGTAGGGGAAATCAGTTAAAAGAAGGGAATAATACCAATGACGAGGAAAGTGAAGAAAATAGTATCGAAGTATGAAGATGGGAATTAGTCAGGAAAAAAGGAAAGGTTTCGTGTTGCCACCCAAGAGCGTTTAGTTGACGCTCAAACCCCTTAACCGTATATTCCTTGACAACATGTTCTGGAAGCAGGTTCCAGCGCTCGATGACTCGACGCGATAACCGTGTTTCCGCTCTAACACGATCGGACCGCGGTTTGTCCAGCTTCATACAATGCCCGCGGAGAACAGACAACCTTGCAGGTCTAAATAGCATGGACAAATCAAGGCTAACCTTAACAGTCAAAATACGGTAGGTTAGGATTAGGTCCCTGTCCGGGAGAAAGCAAGAATTGCCTTGGAAATCCACTATTAGTGGTTAATCGATTAGTAACGATTATCGCATCGATTTCGAATGTTCCGGAATGTTCTTCTTCTACACGTGATCAAAATCAACCTGGCACTTCGGCAAAAGAAATGGGAACCCCTAAACTCGGCAGCTGACCTTCCAATTCTAGAAGTCCAAGGTCAGTACAGACCTATAAATGCAGCCAAGGTCCGCAGTCGTTGTACAGTGTTCGTTGACGGCGATTAATACGTTATTTTGGCAAGGTCATTGGAGTTTTGCTTTTTCCTTCGGTTGGGCTGGAAGTTGCGGAGCAGTGAACTGTTATTTTTGGAGTTGCGTTTAGTGCGGAGATTATAACAAATGGCGGCGGAGAAAATTGGAACTGTGATGAATTTTTCTGCCGAACAATTTCAAAATCTGCTTTTCCAACAGCAAGCTCATGTGGGGGCACAAATGCAAATGATTGAAAACCTGACATAAGGTTTGAGTTTGCAAACAGGAGCAGTGGCGCGGGACACGCAGGCGAGTTCTGTTGCTCTTTTCACGAACGCCATCACTGAATTCAATTATGACGCGGGTTCTGGATGCACCTTCGAAGCGTGGTTCAATCGCTGGGAAGACATGTTCCAGACGGACTTCATTCGTATTGTCGACTCCTGGAAGGTGCAATTGCTACTCCGCAAGCTCGGAATAAGTGAACATTCAAGGTTCATTTACCACATTTTGCCCAAACAACCGAAGGATCTGACTTTTGAAGAAGCAGTGTCGCAGTTGAAGAAAATTTTCTGTGAGTCGGTATCTTTCCTTAGTATTCGCTATCAATGACTGAGAATTGTCAAACAGGCAACTGACCATTTTGGGGAATTAGCAGACATGATTACCCGTGATTGGGCGCGTTTCAAATTACGCTCTTTAACAGACGATCAGTTTAAGTGTCACATTTTCGTCAGTGCTCTACAATCGCCCAGTGATGCGGAGATCCGCACGCGGCTTTTAGATTAGCTGGAGCAGGATCCTGAGCTGAAACTGAAGGCCCTCGTAAGCGAATGCAAACGGCTGCTCACACTTAAACACGACACTGTCATGGTCGAACGCAATGGTCTCGCACCACCAGGTACCGTGCAACTTGTGAAAAACGCCAGGACCGACAACGCAAGCAAACCCTTCAAGAGGCCTACGAAGAAACCACCCACAGCATGCTGGTCATGCGGCGAATGGCATTTCGCTCGCTTTTTTCCCTTTAAATATCATATGTGGCAAACGTGCCCTAAGCTTGGGTATAAAGAGGAAAGCTGCAGTCAAGTCCGGTCGAAGAAAGTGCAGAACTCTTATTGAAAGTGTACTTCTAGGAGGGACGGCGCTGAGTCTCTGTCCATAGTTGCCGCATTCCAAAGCGAGTGTAAACCGAGGCGGCGATTCAGCACTGTGTTAACCAATGGGATCCCAACGAAACTGCAATTTGACACTGCCTCAAACATCATAATTATTTCCAAGAGCACCTGGAATCACATAAAGAGGCCGAAGATGGTCGAGTCCCAGAAAGTTGCACATAATGCATCCGGCGGTGTGTTACACTTAGTGGGCGAACTCAATTGCAAGATCGCCTTCCAAGGTGTGGAAAATTCCGGAACATGCTACATTTTAGCCCGGCCGATTTTGAAAATTCTTGACCTCGACTGGATTGAAGAGTTGAACCTCCTCGATGTTCCCTTGAATCAGATCTGCAACCGAGTTCGAGCAAGTCCAGACCCATCAACAAAGTCCGTCGAGGACATGACACGTACCCTGAAGCGAAAATTTGCTTCTCTCTTTCAGGATGGCTTGGGTCACTGTACGAAATTCAAGGCAACACTGAACTTGCGACCAGGTGCTAAACCAGTTTTCGAGGCGAAAAGCCCGGTACCATATGCAGCCATGTCAACCGTTGAGTAAGAGTTCGATCGACGGGAACGAGCCGGAGTCATCACAGCCGTCAACTACTCACCATGGGCCGCACCTATGATCGTAGTGAAGAAAGCAACTGGCACGGTACGCGCCTGTGCTGACTTTTCAACTGGCCTCAACGCCGCGCTGGACGACCACCAGTACCCCTTACCTGTACCGGAGGATACCTTTGCAGTTGCGTGGTTGTAAGTACTTTGCTAAGCTTGATCTATCCGCTGCTTATCTGCAAGTGGACGTTGACGAAGTCTCGAGGGAGTTGTTGACGATCAACACTCATCGTGGGCTATTCCAATACAACCGCTGGCAATTTGTTGTGAAAACGGCACCAGCCATCTTCCAACAGTTGATGGACACCATGCTAGCGGGTGTTTCTGGAACCGCTGCATATCTGGATGATATCATATTGATGGGTCGAACACCGGTAGAATTGTTTAACCGCTTAGGTGATGTGCTTGGTTGCATACAGTCGCACGGTTTCCGGATCGGTGAGGATAAATGCACATTTTTCACGCCGCTCATCAAATAACTCGGTTTTATCCTCGAAAAGGACGGACGTCGACCAGACACGGAAAACATAGAAGCCATTAGAAGGATGCCTCCTCTAGCAGATCTACAGTCTCTGCGTTCCTTTTGTGGGCTCATCAGTCACTACAGCGCATTCTTGCATGAGATGCAACGCCTGCGTACCCCGTTAAACAAGCTATTAGCCAAAGGCCAAGCATGGAACTGGACATCAGAATGCCAGAATACCTTCGAACGCGTCCAGTCACTGCTGTCCTCAAACTTGCTTTTGACTCATTTCGACCCCTCCAAAGAGATTGTCTTGGCCACAGATGCATCAATCTATGGGATGGGTGCGGCAATATCGCACATCTACGCTGATGGATCTCAGAAGGCGATCGCCCATGCCGCCAGAACCCTTACGAAGGTCGAGAAGAATTACAGCCAGATTGAGAAAGAAGCATTGGCCATAATGTATGCAGTCAAGAAATTCCATAAAATTCTATACGGCCGCCGCTTCAAGCTTCTGGCAGATCACAAGCCCTTGCTGGCTACCTTTGGTTCGAAAAAGGGCATTCCGGCCTACACAGCCAATCGGCTACAACGTTGGGCTCTTATATTAATGAAGTACGATATCGAGACCCAATACCAGTCGACAGTTTCCATTGGCCAAGCGGATGCACTGTCACGCCTAATTGATGCCCGTCAGCAAGAACAAGAGGACACAATCATTGCCTCGGTCGAGGTTGAACCTGATGTCAACTTTCTGGTAACTGATGCATTGCACGGTCTACCAGTTACCGCAGAAGCTGAACGAACGGAAGCACTTCGGGACCCAATCCTCAAGAAAGTTACACAGTTTCACAAAACAAGTTGGCCACATTCATGTCCATCAGCTGCATTGCAACAGTACTTTCAGAGGAGACACTCACTCTCTATTGTGCAAGAATGCATACTGTTTTCGGAAAGAGTGGTCATCCCCAAGGCACTTCAGGAGCTTCTTATTCGGCAGTTCCACGCCGGGCATCCTGGAATCAACAGGATGAAGGCGCTTGCCCGCAGTTTGCATATTGGCCTTTCCTGGACAAACAGCTAGAAGAACTAGCTAAACGCTGTCAAAGGTGTGCCAATGTCTTGAAAGCGCCACAAAATCAGAACTCGGTTCATGGCCAATAGTTACTAAGCGATGATGCCGCATCCATGTGGACTTTGCGGGACCGATCAACGGCCGAAGCTTCCTCATTATAGTCGATTCATACAGCAAGTGACCTGAAGTATTTCTTATGGAGAACACAACTACCAGTGCCACCATATCGAAAC